AACTGGTTAAAGCGCAGCACTACAAAGCTACATGCAACTGCTTCAATAAGAGTTTGGTCCCCAGCCCTAGAAGTGAACCACATACTGCAGCAGACCTCTCCTGTCCTGCCTGCTGTTCCCCTCAGCTGTGTACTTTATCATTCAGCCTGCTCTGTTCCCCACTGTGTCTCTGGTGAATCCTCTTCTATTTCATTTATTTGAAAATATTTCTATAATTATTTGTTATTACAAAAAAAGGTACTGTAAAATAAATGCGATAAAGGTAATTTGTTTAGAAGGTTAAGCTGTATTGGTGTATTAATGGAAGGAAGGAAAAATATCCACTTAGGAATTTGAGTCTTTTGCAATACAAACTTGGCTGAGCTGACATAATAACTACAGGGAAACTAATTAACCTCTTATTGCCTTGGCGCCTATATATGGAGTGAAGATATTAATGATCCAATAACAGGACCAAATATTATTTTGTAAACACAAACGTTATAAAAATAATATAAATACTTACACTATTTGTATGAGTCTAGTATTTACCCTTTACCCTCAATTTAAATATTTTCTTTTTGCCTAAAATGTCAGGTTTAATTTTTGTCAAACTGTACTTCTTTTGTATGTGTGGCAGAGTAAGCTTTTGTTTATTTTCACATACAGTAAAATTTTTGTTTACTGAAAATGCACTCTTTTTAATGCTTATTGTTCAGTCTGCAGTATATTGGATCTTGGATCAACACCCTTCTTTCTACTGGTAGTATGTGGTTTAAAACGCTGGATGAACTGCTCAGAGAGAAGAGGGGCTGGAAACTTAGGGGAAGAATAGGTAATTTAAAAATCTTTTAAAATGGCAATTCTACTTGCCTGTTAAGTTATAGAAAGATGGATTTATTGTTTTGCAAAGTCACTGAAATTACTTCAGGAAATTAAAATTGGATCAGCAGGCACATAATAATATGCCAACTCATGGCAAAATGGGGTTCCTACTTGGGCTTTATTGTGGATTCACTACTCTCATTGAAATCACCATTACTTTTGTGATATCTCAAATAAGTGGGGAAGCAGATATAAAACTTCATTCTTTCCCTGACCTAAAGATGACCCATTTCTATAATTACTCTTGGTTATCATGGTATACTAATTTCAGCAGATGAAAGGAATAATCATCATCCAGAACAATAAAACCTTTAGAGTAAGAATCACTATTTCTTTGTGAACTAGGAGGCACTGAATATATTTTCTTCAATTTCTTGTTAGAACTCCTGTCTAGTAAATACATAGTATGTTTCCATGATGATATTAATGGCTCCAATATGTGAAGGTCATGTTTTTGTTGGTGTGATTTGTTGTACAGGCAAATGGCTGCCTGGAGGTTGTGGTTAGTAGCAGGACTACTGATAAGGACAATGAACTAAGTATAAATGACCTTCCAGTTTAGGTCTTGCTTCCTTGTGTTATGATTATTGCAGTTCTCTTGTCTTTTGCTTAATTCAAGTGGAGAATAGGGGTTTGCATTTTTCAGAGCAAAGTGAACAGAATCTCTGACAAATATTGTATTTACTGAATTCTTACCTAACAAGGCCTTCATTTCCAGCTCCCACTTGCTCTTGCTCTGACACTGTCCCAGGTGATTCCACTAGGTCTTGAGGGTCAGGATTTTTGGTCAGATCTCTAAGTGAATTTTTCTTGGAGATTTCATCTATAAAAAGGAAACAGCTTATAGATAGAAGAACATTTACCACTCTTAATGTGAGAATGTAAGCAAGAGATTTCACTTATTTTTGCCAGAATAGTATTCTTAGGAAAGCCTGCCCTTGGATTCCTGTTAGGTAAAGTAGGATTTTATGCAGAGTGCTGCTGGTCAATGGAAAAAAAAAAAAAAAACTTTCAACAAAAAGATCTCATATTTTATTTTTCTTTAAAATTAGCAAAACTGAAATTAATAAGGGTTCATCACTCAAAAAGCATTTTTGGTTCTGCTAAAGTTTTTACAGCTTATGACTGAAATTGATTCATTATAAAATTCAGAAAAATAAAATAGACAGAAATAATTACTAACAGTTTAGAATTTTGCAATCTTTTTTAATGATATCAAATCTTTGTTATGGTTTGATAATCTTACGCATTGATATCTTATTTTAAGAAACAATGCAAACCAATATGTACTAGCTTCGTTTTTAGTTCAAAAGCCATTTTTCCCTTCCAGCCTACATATATAATTTCCAATTAACATCATTTTTTTTTAAAGATTTATTTATTTTGGCATACAGAACTGGGGTACAGGCCAGAGACTCAGGGGTGGTGAAAGACTTCACCAGAGACAGAGTAGGGAGCAGAACAGGCAGATCTACGAAGTACACTGCTGAGGGGAGCAGTGGGCGGGCCAGGAGAGGTCTGCCATGCCATGTGGTCACCTCCGGGGC